CCCATGTACAGGCATTGTCCTCCTATGGATATATTATATTTATTTACTCGTTTCATGTTCCCTATATTTTAGGGTAAATAAATATTATTTTTATTATTTGGAATTTAGTAGAGTGTATCCGTAGATTTTTTGAGGTTGTTGATGTCTAAATCAAAGACATCACGAATTATCTGTTATGTATAATTTTTCCTGTTCATTAATGCTTGGGCGCTAATTTGTGTTGAATTTACTAAAGCAAAAAGGTGGATAGTCTCTAGAACCAATTCAGTTCTGTATTTAAAGCCGATATCTCGACCATCAACTTTTTCATTTCAAAGGATCGTCGGCCGTTAACATGAAATTACCATGCAAATTGGTCCTTGGAATACGTGCCTTCTCTCGTTTTGCGTATAGAATGCAGTAAAAGCCAACCATCAACTGCATATCCATGCGGACCCTTGTAGGGATTCGTCGAAATGGACTAAGCCAGGCTTACGCTGCATTGGCACGTTTCCGTTTACTCTAGCCTTGAAGCGGTACATTATATAGTTCAGTCCTACTATAGTTCTTTTCACGCTTTCTGGTGATTACGTCACAGTGTCATACGAAATAAGTTAACAGATTGACTAGCTACGATGTGCGGATGTTAACTTTCCTGAGGGACATTGCACACTGCCCACACCGATCGCTTCAATCTTTGAAAGATTAAGTTCAAGATCGGCTTCCTGACGAGCCCTACTTTTTTCTCTCGCGTTTCTTCACCCGCCTCCTGGATCTCTTTCTGACCACGCATCCTGTCCCTTGCAGCACCGCTGTTCTGTCTCCCCAGGGTAAAGCATACCATGGTGCTGAGGAGGTTAGGTTTTAGTCAGAACCCGCTGTGGCAGCAGAGACTCGCCGAGGGCATTACGATTAGTAAGGGCTCAAAGAATTCTTCTCCACCTTTCCTTGAAGAGGTTTGTATCGCTGACGCTGGCCAAGCAGATTGAAGGGAACTCACAAAGTAGCCTTCCACCATTTACCTGTCACGATGGGACAAGTGTAACCGACTCAACGGCTAAGGCGGAAGTGCTTGCCATCTTCATCATGGACGTCTCCCCAACGCCCAAGTGTTGTTGAATCAAACCGTTCCCTACACCATTCGGGAAGTAACATTCTGGCATAAGACCGTAAAACGTGTGCTCTTTTAGCTGGACCTCAACGAAGCTTCTGGTCCAGACCTGATTCCGGTCGTTGTATTGAAGGGGTGTGAAGCGGAGCTTGATCCAGTTTTTTCGCGTCTCTTCCAAATATCTTACGAATCCGGCACCTTTCCGGAAAACTGGAAATATGTTCATGTCCAACCCATCCCAAAAAAGGGACCGACCCTCACAACTACAGACCTTCTTCTTTCTGTTAAGCCATGTACAGATATGTAACAACACCGCGAAACAAACCACGCACGCGACGAACCGCGCCGCGCTAGTGTAGACGGTGAAAAGAACGCCGCCGCGAACCTGATTAGCGTTAAAGCTCGACGTTCGGCCCGATCCAGGCTCTGTCGGTTTTTCAGCGCAAGATCAAAGGAATGGCTCGCGACGAAGCTTCTTACTTGTATATTTTCCTTTAAAACTGCGATCAATGCCTCACAAACTTCTGGAATGATGTAGCTGATCGATTGCTTTGAAATTCGAAACATATATTGCAAACTGCTATCTGAATCACCGGTCGCTAAAAATCGCACCGTGACTGCAAGTCTTTCTTGCACTGTGATGGCAGCTCTTTATTTTGTATCTTGTTTTCGTATTTTTGATCCAATCAACGTGAAAAGATATTCAAAATCCGTCGGAGACATCCTCTCAAAATTTTTGTACTGTCCACTTACTGGTTGAAATTTCAATTCCGCTATCAAATTGTTGCAATCGTGTGCTGATCTATTGGTATATAACTGCGTTTGTTTTTGGATAGTTACTAGTGAATATAAATATAGGCAGCTGCTGCTACTGCTATATTCATTTCCGGCTAGTATTTGTCTTTCACTGAACGACAAACAACAAAATTGGATCGTCATTTTGTTGCGCGAGTGGTTTCACGACTTCGTTCGATTTGTGGTAATGTTCGTTGCAATCTTGTTCGTCAAATTCGCGCGCTGCGGTCCGTCGCGTGGTTCGGTTCGCGGTGTTGTTACATATCTGTACATGGCTTTAGACGCAAGGTGATAGAGAGGTGCATAGATTGCGAGCTTCTGAGCTACCTCGAACGTCACGGCTTGATTAGCGACAGGCAGTCAGTCAAGTCATCGTTGGTTGTCAGAGCGGTCCGTGGGACCTTTGCTCTTGAGTCACAGTGTCAGTTTGTAAGTCTGTCAGGTCTGGTAACCCAGAAACCAGACAATTTTGAGGAAAAAAAAAGGGGGGAAGGAAAGGAGAGAAGGAAAAACGAGAGCAAACGGGAAGAAGAGAATCTTTTAGGATAGGCAGCGTTTAGGCATTGTTAAAATCACTTCACAGATTTTGATATGGTCTAAAAAATATTTGATTTTTTTTCTAAAGATTGTGTAAAAATGCTCCAATTTTGGTTGTTCTAAGTTCACGAGTTAATTTTGATTACAGTGCGAGCCGCGGCCTTTTGTGCTTGCGAACTTGCTCGACTGTGTAGTCCACTGACTCATGCAACAGAGGATTGCTGTGCGATTCCGCTAGGCTATAGCGCCGCTGCGCCTGTTGCTTAATGTAGTCCTTTAGGTAAGGGACATCGAGGTCTCTATGTAGAGTTTCGTTAGAGACATACCATGGGGCATCAGCAATAGTGCGCAACGTCCTGCTTTCGCATGTGTGTTTTAGCAATAAAACACCAAGCCGCACATGCGTAAGTCATTGCTGGTCTTATGACCACCTTATAGAGTCGAATCTTGTTAATCAAACTTAATTTTGACCGTTTACATAATAATGGGTAAAGCTAATTTGGAATTTAGTTTTTAGCGCTTCCATATGGTTCCGCCAAGTCTTCCCTTTGTCCAGAATGACACCGAGATACTTAGCGGAGGATTCCCATGGTATACGAAGTCCATTCATTGAAACTTCAGACGGAACGCCGCGACGTCTTTTTGTACAGTAGATTGCGTGCGTTTTCGTATGGTTTATTTTAATTAGCCACCGATCCGCTCAATCTAATACTTCCTCCACCGCACTTTGCAGCCTGTCATGGACTAGGTCACCAGACCACGACTCAGCCACCAATGCAGTATCGTCAGCATAGAGATAGACTTCACAGTTGCCGGGACTAGGGACGTCATGGATGTACAGTGAGTAAAGGATAGGTCCAAGGACCGAACCCTGAGGGACGCCGGCTGTAATCAGCCGTGTTGTCGACAGGACGTTGTCAATTTTGATCCGAAATTTTCTACCTTCAAGGAAGGATTTCAGTAGTTTTAGAAGCCAAAAAGGGAAGCCCTTTTGATTAGTTTATACAAGAGGCCCGCGTGCCACACCTTGTCAAATGCTTTTGAGACATCCAAAAGCAAGATGCCAGTACTTTCGTTAAGGGTGAATCCTCTGGTTACACGTTCCACCAGCCTAACCGCCTGTAGCTCCGTACTATGTTCAGACCGAAAACCGAATTGCACGTCAGTAATCACATGGTGATCTGACGAGAAATTCTCAAGGTGACGTAGAATCACCTTTTCAGCGAGCTTAGACGCAGCTGACAGCAGGCTAATGGGACGATAATCCTGGGGAAATATCGAACCCACCTTCTTTGGAATCATTATAACTTCAGCGGTCTTCCACGCGGATGGGAAGTACTGGATCCTTAGCATGGCATTGACTATTGCCACGAGATAAGTTAAGGACTTCCGCGAAAGCAGCTTCAGCGCCTTATTAGTGATTTGATCCTCCCCAGGTGCTTTACGCACTTTAAGGTCTTTAATATGACCTTGAATCTCTGCTGGTGTGCAATGCGGGATCTCAGGAGATACCGCTGATGTGCTAAGCAAATCTTCAGTTGAAGAAGCTTCTGAAGAAGAATCTTCTGATGAAGAAAAATCACCAACGAATGCGCTACTGTCACTGGCGCCGTTGGCCCTAAAATATCTCCTGACAGATCTTACGATGTGTTGCTCCTCGTCGAGGTCATTATCAAGATCATAGTTGGGAGAGAACTGTCTTTCCATGGCATCGGCGAAAACCTCAACCTTCTCCTCTGTCCTGAAGACAATGCCTCCAGTGAATGTGTGGGATTTGTTCACGCTTTCCGTTTTTGAGCGACTTCGCCACCTTCCAGAGAGGAATGCTTGAGTCAAGCATCCCCGCCAGAAAGTCGTTCCATTGCTCATTGCGGAATTCATGAAGAGCATTTCTTACTTCGTGAACAAGATTCGTCGCTCTGCGAATGTCATCAGGATGAAGCGACAGGCAGTATGGTTTCCGGCACCAAGCGATCCACAGAAGACCTCCTAGCTTACGTCACGTAATTGTAGAAAACTCATCCAATCAAAGGGCGAAAACACAGTGGAAGCTGCTTTCCTGCTTATCGGCAACCAGCGCCGATCGGTACCGAATTTCGGCGAAGGCCATGGCCATAGTGCAGACGAGAAAAAAGCAAATAAAAACGGCCTCTTGTCAGTTCCAGCATAGTCTTCGCGTCAACATGGGGTCTAGCTCATCTGAAGATGAATTTATTGTATTGGACAGCTCTGTAACTAAAATAATCACTTGAAAGAAAGTTGGTATTCATGCCATAAATCGTGAGAGGGTACATTATGGTGAATATCATCATTTATTCAAGGAGTTGAAAGTTGACCCCGACCGCTTTTTTCAGTATTCCTTTCCAACATTTGTCAACTGCATTTCTGTTACTGTGTTGCTTATTTTTTTATCCTATACGAGCGATATCTTTTAAGTTTTGCATATAGAAATATAGTAGGCCGCGCGGATCGAACGTCGGTACTGAATCTTAACCTCACTCTTTAGTAAACTTAAATTCAAAGTTTCACAACAATACGTGCAGTGTTCTCACTACAGTGTCACCAAGTCATTAGAAAAATGGAACTCAACCGAGAACATTTTCGCGCCATAATTTATTACAACTTTCAGAGACAGTTATCGCAACATGAATGCCTTGCTGAGTTATTGTGTTTTCGGCAACGAAGCGACAATTTTCCTTTGGTATGGAGAATTTAAACGTGGACGGGTGAGTCTTAGCGACGATCCCAGGTTGGGTGCACCCAGGAAAACGTCGATGCTGTGCGCAAACTCATCATTGAAGATAGACATGTGATATATCGCGAGATTCAAAAAATTTTACATGAATAGTTAGGAGTAAGAAAATTAGTTTCTCGTTGGATTGTTAGTGGTGATGAATCGTGGATTTACTGTTATGAACCAGTCGGCTGTTTGGGTGTTTCAAGGTGAAGAAAAGCCAACAAAAGTCATCCGTTTTCGAAGTGTTTCGAAAAAGATGGTCACGACATTTGTGTCAAAAGCGGGTCATATTACAACAATTCCTCTTAATGAGCAAAGAACTGTTACTGTGTATTGGTATACCACCATTTGTTTGCCAAAGTCATCACCGAGCTTCGAAAAATCAACCCCGAAAGAAGAATCATCCTCCACCAAGACAATGCAAGCTCGCACACAGCCCAAAAAACAAGGCAGTATTTAACGGAAGAAAACGTGGAATTATTGGACCATCCTCCATATAGTCCCGATCTAAGTCCTAATGATTTCTTTACTTTCCCGAAAATTAAAAACGGACTGCGTGGTCAAAGGTTCCAGTCACCAGAAGAAGCAGTTGACGCATTCAAAAATGCCGTTTTGGATCTGCCAGCAAACGAGTGGAACAAGCGCTTCGAAAAACAATAAAGTCATTTAAAACTACCTACCGTGTTGTTTTATTTCCATATGCAAAACTTAAAAGACATCCCTGTTTAGTGATACAATTAAGCTGAAAAGCGAATCACAGAATACGTAACGTTCTAGAGGAAGGAATCTTGAGTGGCCTTGAAGAAGATAAGTTTTATAGGAAACCAACTAACGGAGAAAAACTGCAGAGTTTTATGCTGATCGTCAACACCATACTGAATCGCTGAGAAAGAAAGATATAATACGAGTGAAGTTACACAATCAATAAACTATTAAATTTGCAAAAAGAAAATCATTGAAAAGGCGTTTGGCCTAGGAATGGGCACTCTATTATCAATGAGGAGAAATTCAAACTACTGATAAGTGATAAATAGAAAAAAAAAGGTTACGTGATTTTGGCACGTGACAGACTGCTTTAAAAAACTTTGCTGCCAAAGCCCGTAATATATCTCAATTTTAAAATTCTTCTGGGTTGAATACTTGCCTTGTCTATTATCGCGAGATGTAAAATCGTATTCGATGTGTACCATGTAAAGGGAGTGCTCAGCTTGTTGACCAGCCTATTTAGCACACCGGAAGCTACAAAGGGGGGTCACTCCTTTCTTTGTTTTACTCACGACTAGAACTGATCCCTCTTTTTTTCATTACAACCACGCTCGGCTGAAAGCGAGCAGACCAATAAATAATACGCTCTAAGTTTTATTATTTTAATAATACCGTAATTACGGTCATTCAGAACTTCCTGCAGAGTAAAACAGCCTGAGGTGTTCACTCGGCCTTTCACATTCTCAAGATCACCGGTTGGAAAAAATGCGATGAGTGATTTTTAATACGTAGATTATATAGCTGAATATCGTAAAAAACGTGTAGATGGCTTTTAAGACAGAATCATATTTTCGGGGGTAAACGAAAAGTTAATGTTGGAAAGGCTAGTTTTTATGTACATTTAAAAAACCATGAAGTATTTTTTTATACTGAACCAGCCGCGCAGGCAGGAGCATCATTGAGGAAACCTCTGAGGAGCAAAGCCCATTGGCGTAGCAGTAGATGAAAACTAGATCGCCGACGAACCGCCAGCGTGAAAGGGTCCCGAGACTGTCCGTTAGAGCAGAGTAATCGATCAGTCGGACTGCCCTCCTTTGAACATGATTGAGCATGGATTATGTAGTTGGGGCGGCAGCACCCCAAACATGTGAGCAATACTCGAAGCTAGGTCTTATCTGGGCCTTGTATAGAGTCAGAAGGTCATGTGGTGAAAAGTATTCCTTACCTGTCAACAAATAGCCTAGCTTGCAGCTATTTACAAGATACACTGTGACTTCGAAGTTGAATCATTTATTTTAACAGTGAGTAGATCAAAAGAAATTTTTTTTCCTATAACATTTTTCTGGTAAAATTAAAGTAACAAAGTTATAGCCCTTTAGAAGTTTGAGTACCGCCCTGTCTCAATAATAATATTATGTGCTCGTGTTTGGCAACAAGCCCAGCTCTGCGTCGAGCAAAACGGAAATCATTTCGAACAGTTTTTGTGACATGCTTTTGGGCGCACACGTCCGCACTGAAATACTTAACGGGAGGATACTTTACAAAAAACAAGGTAACATTTTTTTTTACACACATATTTTGGTATATCTTCCTTCTACAATTATTATCTGAAAATTAATGACTCAACTTCAAAGTCACCCTGTATATTCATAAGAGATCAAGTGCTCGGTGATCTGGACTCCGACCAGCCGAAATGAACTCGGCCAGGGGCGGCTGGCCTTTAAGTTCTGCAGAACTGCAGAACTGCCAAAACTTTTGAAAAAAGCAGTAGTCACATAATTTGATCATTAGGTATTTATTTTCCATGTTATCACACAAATAGAAACAATACCGACCTGCCCCCCAAGACACGGCGTCGAGTCTGTTTTGCAGTATTATAATCGACCAATAGATGAAAGGCACTTTCGTTTATTCTCAAGAATATAATTTTGTTGTAAACACCATCTTTACAACTGTATATACATTTGCTAAAAGTCTAGGTACCCTGGTCTAGTTTTCAAGATCAGGTTGGAAATAATTCACAGCGTATTTTTCTTAGAATATTGCATTCTTCAATATGAGCATCACTTTTAATTATAAACATGCTTAATCGGACATTACTGACAATTATTACTAGAGATTCATCAAGACAAGTAGCTTGAATTTTTTCTTAAAGACTTGACTTGACTTGAAAACTCAAGCTTTTAAAAATTTGATATTTGACTTGACTTGATTTTCGGACTGAACTACTTGACTTGATATCAAGTAAAATCAAACTACTTGATATTACTTGATAGTAGATCTGTGAAATGCGCATCGAAGCGTTAAAATAGGGGATTCACCGAGGTTAAATAGGGGATTCACACAGCAAGCAGGCACTCGATGACGACGGACGTGCTCGTGCGATTAGTAGAGCAGCGTTGTTCAAGGATAAAGAGCGACCGCAAAAGAATTATTATGTCTGATTTAAGAAGTAATTTGTCAGAAATGGAGTCGGAACCTTTTCAAAGCAGCGGCTCAGAATATATCGTAAATGAAAAAGTGTCAGAATCTGATGACACCGAACCAGAAGAAGAAAGTGCAGGGTCGGTGCCACCAAAGGGAAAACGAGTTAAAGCTAATAAAACGAATAAAATTAAGGATTATTTCATAATCGAGCAGGATCCTAAGAGTAAGAAAACTACTGACAAACAAGGCAAATGTACCCTATGTGTCGTAAAAAATACAGTTTTAAAAATGAAAAACTGTGGAACATCTTCACTAAGGAGGCATTTGCAAGCTAAACACACTAGAGTCTACGAAAACATTTTTGGTAGATCCAGCCCACCTAAATCCGAAGCAGAAGCCTCTGCCAGTTCGAATAGGCGTAGCACAATTACAAATTGGCTTGAGAAGGTAAAAGATTAATAACAATTAGATTTGAGCTGAAACTAAATAGTAAATAATTGTATAGGGTGGGCATTTTATTAGGGGCGTAAGCATACCTCTTCCTCAGAAACTACAGGGTGTAGAAAAAAATAATTATATAAAAGATTCTTGGCAATCAAAAAAAAATTAAATTACCTATTAGAATTTTATTTATACAGGGTGTCCGAAAAGTGCTGCACCAGAATCCTTCATTTGTTTTTTCCAACTTCATCCATTTTTGAAAAATCTTTAAAAAAACACACAAAGGAATCATGCTAGAAAAAAACAAATGCCTAATTTGGATTGCTTGATCACGAAAACCCCTTAAAAAGTTATTTTTTCCAAAATCCGGATCAGCTCATTTTAAGCCACACTTATAGTTTTATAATGTTTATTACAATCATTATAGGTTCCTTGATTTTAAAAGTCATTCTATATTAAAAAGGTTTAATAAATTATTAATAAATATCGAGGTAGGCGAAATATCAAAATATTAAATAAAAGGCGGCTCTTGAACGGAAAAAATTACAACTTTCGGATAACAATTCTAAAAGTTTTTTAAATATAAGAAGTAATGTCGACTTCTAATTTAGAACCGCTTTTTTATTATATAACATAATTTTTGTTTGTTGTTATAATTATGTAATGATGTCTCATTTAAAATTCTGATTTTGAAGTCGGTGCAGCAGTTTTTGGGCACCCTGCATCAATAAAACTCATCAGAGCATATTTACAAAAATCTATATTGACTTTAAGACATTCTATTCAAAATTGTGGGACATGCTATAAATTTTTATACAGGGCATTTCAAAAAAATTACTTACTTTTTCATTTAAAAGTGGGATATTATGACGTAAACATTCATGCACCTTGCGCTGCATTTTACTAACTCCAGTTTTGTTTATTTTTCAGACCACTAGTTGTTCAGAAAACTTTCAACAAGACAAATTTCAAAAACTATTTGTGGAATATATAGCACATAAGTATCTCCCTTTCAACTTTTTTGAAGATGCTATAAGTGGAAAAATGTACAAATTCCTAAATCCAAAAAAAAACTCTACCTGGTCGGAATCAAATGAAATCTTTGTAATTCAAAAATCTCGTTCACAATCGATGGATGGTCTTCTTTTAATATGAAGGGGTACTATGGTATTACCGCCCATTTTATCGATAAAAATTGGGAACTTCATTGTATTCTTCTAGATTTTGTGCCAGCACATGGGCAACATACTGGTAATGCAATTGCAAAGCTATTTTTCGAAGTATTACAATTCTACGATGTTACAAAATGCATACAAGGTATTACTACCGACAATACAAATAGTAATTTTACGTTCATCAGACAACTTCAAACGCATATTTCTGAAATCGATACAAAAAATATCCACTTTGTATGTTTTGCACACATCTTAAACTTGGCAGCTAGAGATTTTATGAAAATCCTTGATTCTGAGGTTGAAGAAACCGCCAACATTTTGACAGATATATCAGATGATGATGATGATGACTGCCAAGTTCCGCCCTCTTCTGTAAGAAAAATCCATTCCCTTGCTAAAAAATTAAAAAACTCTGAACATTTACGTGAAGATTTTGAAAAATTTTGCACCACTTTAAACCTGAAATTTACTATGCCAAAACTTGATGTCATAACAAGGTGGAACTCCACGTTAGACATGTTGAGATGGAGTCTAAATATGAGAAACGCACGTAACATCCTTTGTGATAATGTAGAAAATTTAAAAACTTTAAAGCCAACCGACACAGAATGGTCGTTAATTGAACGAATTTGCCAGTACCTTAATGTTTTTAAGAGTATTTCCATAATTTTAGAAGGTGAATCATATGCCTTTACCTATGGTAATAATCGGCATTAATATGTTGCTGGATAGACTAGAATCGTGGGCTATGGTACTTGACAATAAACCTGATCGAGATGAAATCGATGAAAAGATTATAAATAGTATTCAAGCGGCAAGGGACAAAATCATTAGACATTACGAACGGACTAACTGGATGTACTGTGTTGTCCTGATTTTAGACCCCCGACATAAAGTGGATACATTCTCCAATACAAGTTGGGGAAAATCGTTGCAGATAGAAGCAATTAAACATTTTGAAGATATTTTTAAAGCACAATATTTTAGGGCTGACTCTCTGCAAATTTCTGAACCATCACTTCAAGTAGCAGCATCTTCAAACCCTAGTAAAGATAGTAGTGTCGAAAAGTTTGAAATAGATCTACTAAGTTTGTTTAATAGAAAACCTGCCCATAATGCAGACGACGATATGGCCTGGCGTTACGAAACCGACAAATATATTTCTGACCCAAGAGCTGACAGTACTGAAGATATTTTAGAATGGTGGAAGAGACACGAATGCATTTTTCCAACCTTGCCGCAATGGCCAAAGACTTTTTGGCAACGCCAGCTTCTTCAGCTCCAGTTGAAAGGCGTTTCCTAGAGCTGCCTTAACTCTTACCAAAACAAGAAATCGATTAGGCGATAACTCCGTTAGAAGCCTTTTGTGTCTCAAATCATGGATGACAAATAAGGATATTAAAGATTTATTTTAGATATTCATTTTCATGTTTGTTGATTTTCTATTGTTTTATTGTCAGAATTCATAATATTTCGCATTTTTATTTCATATTATTTCATGTATTATTAAACTGAGTTTGTTAGAGTTTTCGTTTTTAGATGTTTTTTAAATAAAAGATTAAATCTATATATACATAGATTTTTATTGTTATTCCATTTTGGCAGTTGAACAGATTAATATCAAAAAAGTACATTTTTTCAAGAAAAATCAAGTAGTTAGCTTGAAAACTTGATTTTCAAGTTACTTGATGTGTAACTACTTGACTTGACTTGAATTTCAAAAACAAATACTTGACTTGATCTTGACTTGATATCAAGTCAAGTCAAGTCAAGTAGCTTGAAAATCAAGTCAAGTCGTGAATCTCTAATTATTACACGTGTCGGCTATGTGATGATTATGATTTCTGTTGACTGATTTCTGTAATAACTTTAGATGCCATTACTTTTTGATAAGATTTTTCTACATTCAAGCTTCTTCAGTATAATTCCAACTTAAAAATGAGCGATTATTTCAGAAGCTTAAAACATGTTCGATGCCATTAGAGAGAATTTCAAAATAGGCTTTGAAGGAACAGACAAGAAATAACACCCAAAGTTTGGATATTTGCGAGTGTTGGCAATCAAATCATGTTAACATTGACGTTTACGTATGCAATATTGATGATTGCCAAAACTTTGTAAGCACTGTTTGGAATTTCAAGGTTGTTTCTTATGCGTTCTTCTAAAGCCCAGTATGAATAATTTCCAATTATGATAAACACCAACGGTTTTTTGAGTTTTTCGATGAGACAACCATTTTAGATAATGTAGCCCTATTAATAATAACCTAGTTTCCTCATTTTTGGTCGTAATTTCTGCTGTTGAGTGGATCTACTTATCTTTCTTACTTTCTACCTAGACTATAAACTAATTATATGGGAAAAATCCTTAAAGTTTTTAGAATGATGAATATGGTACTAAGGGCCGTATCGTTAGTCGTTCCTACAATTGTAGGACGCATTTATGGTCTCCTTGATTTTCGTAGTAATCTAGACTGGGGTATGTCTAGATTACTAATGTTCCATGTCTGCCTCAGCACACTCCTAGTTATCTTTTCTTTTTAATAAATTGTAGGAAATATCGGGCTGATTAAATAGATAATAAAAACCGAACGCGTGAACAATTTGATGCGAATAGATATTTGTAACATAATCTCAAAATAGAGCTCTGACACGGGAAAGTAGAAAACTATGAAAATCAAGGAGGCATAAAGGCATCCTACAATTTTGAAAATACGGCCCTTAATACGAGGGATGTCTTTTAAGTTTTGCATATGGAAATAAAACAACACGGTAGGTAGTTTTAAATGACTTTATTGTTTTTCGAAGTGTTCTCCACGAAGATTAATATACATCTGCATGCGCTCGAACCAATTTTTGAAGCACTTATTCCACTCGTTTGCTGGCAGAATTTTCGGCAAAGTAAAGAAATCGTTAGGACTTAGATCGAGACTATATGGAGGATGGTCCAATAATTCCACGTTTTCTTCCGTTAAATACTGCCTTGTTTTTTGGGCTGTGTGCGAGCTTGCATTGTCTTGGTGGAGGATGATTCTTCTTTCTGGGTTCATTTTTCGAAGCTCGGTGATGACTTTTGGCAAACAAATGGTGGTATACCAATCGGCAGTAATAGTTCTTTGCTCATTAAGAGGAATTCTTGCAATATGACCCGCTTTTGACACAAATGTCGCAACCACCTTTTCCGAAACACTTCGAGAACGGATGACTGTTGTTGGCTTTTCTTCACCTTGGAACACCCAAACAGCCGACTGTCGATTATTTTCTGGTTCATAACAGTAAATTCACGATTCGTCACCACTAACAATGCTGTATACATTTTTTGAGTTACCGGAATTGAAAGGGTCAAGCGTTTTTTGACACCAATTAACCCTGGCTGCTTTCTGCTCTTTAGTCAACGAGAAACTAATTTTGTTACTCCTAATTCTTCATGTAAAATTTTTTGAATTGAGGTCTTTGAGATCTTCAAGGACGCCCCAATCTCGCGGTATGTCACATGTCTATCTTCAATGATGACTTTGCGCACAGCATCGACGTTTTCCTGGGTGACTGCCGTTTTTGGTGCACCCACCCTGAGATCGTCGCTAAGATTCACCCGTCCACGTTTGAATTCTCCATACCAACGGGAAATTGTCGCCTGATGTGGCGCTTCGTTGACGAAAACAGACAGTAACTCAGCAAGGCATTCTTGTTGCGATAATTGTCTCTAAAAGTTGTAATAAATTATGGCGCGAAAAAGTTCTCGGTTGAGTACCATTTTTCTAATGACTTGGTGACACTTAAAAATTCACTGTAGTGAGAACACTATTGTTGTAAATTTTGAAGTTAAGTTTACTAAAGAGTGAGGTTAAGATTCAGTACTACTATGTATCTATATGCAAAACTTAAAAGGCATCCCTCATATGTTAATATATCAGAATGCTCAGAATTTAATATCTTTTTTTGATTGTGGATTACCATATGCATACTTCATACCTGTCTTCTTCAGATAAATCTGAAAATTGTTTAGTTGAGTTGGTTGGATATCGAGCAATGTATTATTTAACAAAAAATTACACACTTCAAAGATCTGTGATATGACTACTATAGCTAGAAGTTGATAAGATATTTTACAAAAAAATTATACACTTTAAATTAGAATTGGAAAACTTCAGTATAGTTTGTGTTTGCCTTCCTATTTTGCATTGTAACCATATTTTAGTACTGATTGTGTAATACTCATTTTATATCGAGAACATTGTGTTGCTATTCAGACAATCAGTGCATTTTAATTTCATTATATCATGATACAGGGTCCGTCAAAAAGAACGCATGTTTTTCAAATAAGTAGTACAGTCAAAATAAGTGTGGGAAAAATATTTTATTAAATCGAAATACATGCCATTTTTTAAGTAAAACAAAATTTACGTTCTAAAAACTATGTCGGCCATATGGCGCCCTTTAGCCGAAATGCAGGAATCAAGCCTCTCCCGAAATGAGCCCATTGCGTCGGCCAGCATCCGTGCAGGGATTTGGGTTACTTCTCTTCTTATTTTCTCCTTCAAATTGACGAGTGTTCTAGGCTTGCTTTGGTAAACTTTTAATGTCTGGTAGCCCCATAAGAAAAATCACACGTTGACAGGTCCGGGGAGCGAGGGGGCCATAAAGTATCGCCATGACGTGAAATGAGACGTCCTGGGAATTTTTGCCGAAGAAGTTCCATCGAAGTGCGAGCTGTGTGAGATGTTGCCCCGTCTTGTTGGAAACATACTGTTCTGAGACGGACACGGCGACGTCGATGCTCCGGGAAAAAAAAGTTGTTCAGCATGTGGATGTAACGCTCCGAATTCACAGAAGTTGTTTCTCCATCATCCTCAAAAAAATAAGGGCCTACTGCACACCAAACTGTAACTTCTGGGGTATGCAGGCTCATGCAACTGTTGGGGGATCACTGGAGACCAATATCGACAATTTTGTTTATTGACGTATCCATGTAAATGAAAAT